CACCCCCCCCCGCAGGGCCCCTCCCCCTCGCCTGCCGTCACTCTCCGGTTCTCCCTCCAGGTGGGGCCGTGACCTCGGGGCTGGCCATCTACGACACCATGCAGTACATCCTCAACCCCATCTGCACCTGGTGCGTGGGGCAGGCGGCCAGCATGGGGTCGCTGCTCCTGGCTGCCGGCTCCCAGGGCATGAGGCACTCCCTGCCCAACTCCCGCATCATGATCCACCAGCCGTCGGGAGGGGCACGAGTGAGTCAGGGTGTTGATCTTCCTCCTGGGGCAGGGCGGGCGGCACCCAGGGAGGGGGTCTTTAGCAACAGGGGAGGAGGAGGGGGAGTTTCCACGCTGCTGGGGGCCACCAATGTTCCCTCTTAAGTTTTTCCATCCATGTGTAGAATAAATTTTATGTGCACTGCAACATGTGCGGATGTGCACCACCAGTAGAAACACAGGCTGGAGGCTGTGAGTCTCAAGTAATCAGCTGGATGGCATTGCACTCAGCTTACAGGGAACACTGGGGCTGATCATCCCTATCGTGGAGGAGGCTGAGGACTGATTGGACGAGCGGGTGGAATTCCCCTCTGCTGGTTGGGACTGGGGGAGGGGAACCTTTCACCCTAAAGTCCCCGCTCCCGAGTGGCTGGAGACCCTCCTTCCTTCCTGTCCCAAGTGGGGAGCGAGTCTGGCTCTGCTCTGTCCTTGCTGCAGCGGGACTAGTCGGTCGGTGGGGGGGCAGCGCCCCCTGCTGGGGGCTCCGGGAAGCCAGGCTGCCCCTCATGCTGGTTCTCCGCAGGGCCAAGCCACGGACATCGCAATCCAGGCTGAGGAGATTCTGACACTGAAGAAGCAAATCAACAAGCTGTACGCCAAGCACACAAAACAAGCCCTGGAGGTGATCGGTGAGCGGCCCCCGCTTTGGGGGGGCCCCACCTGCTCCCTGAAATCTCCCAGCCACCGGGTGGGGTGGGCAGAGGAGAGGGTGGCTCTCTTGGGGGATGATGGGGGAGGGGAAAACAGAGGCTTCCCAAAACATCTGCACTCCGTGGGTGAAATGGGAAGGGATGGGGGGCCCTGTCATCAGGGCCCCATATTTCTGCCAGGGGGCCTAGATCCAGCTCTGCCCTCCTCCCCCTCAACTTGTGGGGAGGTCAAAGTTCAGATCCTGAAGGCAGGGGAAACATCTCTCCTGCTTCAGGGGATCAGCTGGTTGTGACCCCAGGGGTCAGGAAGGAACCCGGATCTGCAGGGACGCTGCAGGCCACGCCGATGGAGTTTAACGCCGGTCGCGCCAGCGGGGCTAGATCCCCCTGCCTTTAGTGTGGGAACTCCAGTGGCGGCTGCAGTGTTAAGGCTTTTACCCCCACTCCCCGGGTCAGCCACTAGAGGGCGACGTGCCCAGCGCTCACCCTGGGGCACCCCTCACCTTCCCCTCTGCTCTTCTCCTGCAGAGTCCGCCATGGAGCGGGATCGCTACATGAGCCCCATGGAAGCCCAGGAGTTCGGGATCTTGGACAAGGTGCTGGTCCAACCCCCGCACGATGGGGAGGACGAGCCGGAGCTGGTCCAGAAAGAGCCTCCCCCGCCCTCCTCCTCCTCCTCCTCGGCTGAGCCCTGAGAGCCCCTGGGCCGGGAGCCCAAGTCAGCGGCTGGTGCTTGGCCACGGTGCTGGGGACCGTTCGAGCCAGGAAGGAGGAAGCTGGAAGAGACCAACCCCAGACGCAGAGCGGCGGGGGCAGCACAGCCCCGCTCTGGGGCTACCACCCCTGCTTGATGGACGGATGCAAGAGGAGTCCCCTTCCTTCCAGTGGGCACCCCCTTTGCTGCCCTGGCCAGATGGGTTGGTCCAAGGTGGGGTGTGTCTGGCAGCGGCTGATCATTTCGGTCCTTTCGGGCCATGAGAACACGCCCCCCCCTCCCCCGGTGTAGAGTCGTTAGCTGAATGATTGTTACGAAATTAAACTTGCCAGGCTGTTCTCACTGTGGGGGCTCTTTTCCCTTGGGGCGTCAGCAGGGGGAAACCTGAGACACAAACATTTCGCGCGTGTGTCTTTTTCAGCCTCTCCACGTTCTGGTCGCCTTGTGTGTCTCGGAGCAGCCTCTGGGCCGCTCTGACTTGAGCTCTGCTTCCCAGCCACCCGCGGGGAGCGAGACTAGCCCAGTGCTGGGTGCTTTGCCCCCCTGCGCCCCAACAGTGACGACAGGCCCGGCTCGGGAGTGGTTCTCAACAGGCCTTTGCTGACCAGCCTGTGTGTGGTTGGCGCAGGACTGTTTGTGGGAGGGTTGCAGCAGCCACCTCTGGGCTGGAGCGCAGCAGCTGTTTAACAGCCCACAGCAACATCCCACGAGGGTCTGGTGTACTCTGGGAAGGCAGATGGAAGTTGCTCCGAAGGCGGGGGAGGGGTGTTGTGTGGATTTCATGGGATCTTCTGCAGGGTGGGACTCATTTTTATGTCCTGGATGTAGCCTAGTGCCATTCTAGGGTGCTGGGCTCTGCACTGATTGACAGGGACCCTCCTCCTTCCCTGCATCCCAGGCCCTGGGGACAGAGCACCTCACGCTGAGCCCCTGTCAACATGACCCCCCTCCAACCGCCGCCTGGGCAGCAGAAACAGCTGTGCCTGGCAGGAGGCCCAGCTCCGCTCCAGTAATAATGCTGCTGCTTTGCACACAGGAAAGGGGGGAGAATCTGTGTATCTCTGTAGCTGCATGTCCAGTCTTACAGCCACCCCTATACATCCTGTTTCCATATATGCTCCCTCACATTCCCCTCCTCTCTGCGCACATGTATCCTGGAGAGCTGGAGCACAGCCATGGGGGGCTGCTCCTGCCCAGCCAGTGCTGCTTCTGGGGTTGGGGCTGGGGGCTTGTCTTCAGCCTCTCTCTTGTCCAGGGCCCCTGGCCAGACTGTCGGGGTCGGGGTGGGGGAGCCTGAGCCCCCATTTTCCCTGCCAATCTGGGGCGATTTTTGGAGCTTCTCCCCCCTTTCCTCACAGTTCCCATTAGCCTGCAGTGGGGGCCCTGGAGGACTCGGGCTGCCCCCGGCCTGGGAGGCAGAGCCATCACCAGGTAACGGAGGCTGGCTGTGGGGCGCGCTGTGGGTGGGGGCCCAGCCAGAGCAGCCCCATTAGGTCAGTTAATCACAATGGGACATGACCTGAGCTCTGAGTCAGCTGGGAACAGAACTCCCGGTGACCAGACTTGCTCCCCCGCCAGTTCCCCTGCTCTAACCACTGCACCCCCGGAAGCTCAGGCTTTCAGGCCAAACGTCTCGGTGGAGGTAAGGTCAGGGGGGCATTTCCCCACTTGGCAGAGGGTCTGTGGGCACCTGGCTCTGAGCAGGTAGGAGCAGCTGGTTCCATGCGAGCGCCAAGCCCTGGGTGGCAGTGTGGCACAGTGGTTAGAGGAAGGGCTTAGGTGTGGGGTTCCTGACGGTTCCTCTCTGCCTGGCTAGGCTTGAAGCAGCATCATTGAATGGTTACAGTGTTGAGTAGGGAGCCAGGGTTCCTGGGACTTATACCCGGCCCCTGGAGGAACGTGGGGTCTGGTGGTTAGAGCGGGGAGAGGTTGGGAGCCAGGGTTCTGTGCCTGGTCCCTGGAGGGACATGGGGTCCAATGGTTAGAGCCAGGGATGGGGCAGGGCTGAGCCAGGACTCCTGGGTCTATGCCCAGAGGTGTCCCTGACTGATGCCCCCTTGGGCCAATTGCTTCACCCCACACTCCTGCTAGTGCCCGGATGTCACGGTCGTGCTCTTCCCCCTCCCGCTGCAGGGACTGGGGATTTAATGGCCACGGATATCCCGGAGCTGGGCATCCTGCCCGTGGGGGGGGCTGGCTGGAAGGAGCT